TCTCTCTCTCTCTCTCTCTCTTGTACCCACTCTCTCATCGTCATCATCATTAACAGCAACATGATCATCATTCATCATCATAATAATAATAATCATCATCCCCGTCATTCTGTCACCATCGCCATCATGAACAGCATTATCACCACCATCATCGTCCCCATCATTCTTTGGCCGCAATCGCCATCATGATCAACAGCATCATCACTACCATCATTCATCATCATGATACCCACCATGACCATCATGATCATCTTCGTCACCATTGCCATCATTGCCATTACAGGCGTCATCACATCCTCGTCATCGTCATCACCGGCAGCAGCACCATTCTCTTCATTTACGAGGCAATCGAGGCAACAGCCCGGACAGCACAAGCCCTGCCGGAGAAAGGTCAACAGGCGCGTGTGGTCACTTGGAGCTGGGCGGCTGCTTCAGGCATCAACTCTTCACAAAATCAGATCAGCAGAAAACAAGCCTGACAAAATCCGTAAGCCCCAACAACCGGCACTCCTGGAAAGTGCGATTCTCAGCTTTCGCGTCCCATGCAGGTTGCCCGGAGTGGGTCAAGGCTGAGTCTCGTGATTGTCGCGTTTGGAGGATGCGCTTGGGGCTGGGGTTTTGCGGTCATGCATCAAGGGACGCGCAGGCCGATCAACGCCTATGCTACGCCGGCCTATGCCGGGCACAGCTGGGAGGCAGACGGCGCCAGGTTCAGCGGTGTTACCGCGTGGGGCCTAAGAATCCTGGGAAGCCTTTGGGCCAACTGCCTCGTACGAGGATTTAATTTCGCCCTTCGGGCTCGAACACCCCACAGGACAAGGATGCCGGAGCAAAACACCAAATCACTCTTCTATAACACTGTCACTATGTCACTATGACTGCCCATGCCACCACGATACCACCACTACGAGTACAGGTCACAAGGGAGTCGGACTCTGATTCTGCTGACAATGGCAGAATTTGATCATGCTGTTGCTGCGCTGCTGTCTAAGTGGCTATTCCTCGTTCTCACTTTCGATCTTCTGAGAGACTGCTGATGCTTTCGCTGCCACATACGAAGCAAGGTGCGTGCAGAGGCGGGCACCCAATATACCTGTAAATTTTAGAACCCTTCATTGCTGCAAAAACTCGCCCTGAAGGCTTGGAAACTTAAACCTAAGCCCCGGGTGAGCCGCGGCGCATTCGCTTCAACAACTTGGAATCGCGCCGGCAACCTCGTCCATGACCAGCTAGGGCCAGTCAGTCATCTGCACGACGACCTCCTGAGGATTACATCTCCGCATTTAGGGGGGGACGGGGGGGGGGGAGTGCGACCCGACACTCCTTCAGGTTTTGGTATTTACAGATCCGGGTTTTGGGTTTGTTAGCGCGTGGTGTTGAACGCTTCCTCCCGTCCTAGGGATGCTCAGAGGACTCAAGGGTCTGACGGAGGCTTGCTTGCTTTGCAAGCATACTTGCATAGAGTTCTGTGAAAAGTCTGGTGCCATGTTGAAGACGTCCTGAACACAAAAGACTAGGCTTCTGTGTCTGCCTTCGAAGTGTCTTGCTTCAATGAATCCCAAAGCATTAGTGTCGGGTGGTAAACAAGAGCAACAAGAATCGGAACACGGATAACAATAGAAATACTGCCAAAAAACTACCGACATAACAGCAGCAACTTTGACCTCTAAGAGAAGCAGAATGTACAAAAACAACAAGAAACAGCAGCAACACAACAACGATCATAGAGACAACAGCCACACCACAACCAGAGCGACAACGACACATGACACAAGAAGAAGCAGAAGAAGAAGAAGAAGCACTTCATCAACCAACCATGACATGCAACAAGACTCGTAACTCGTAAGGAGCCGCATCACACTTAGCTAAACGAGGTTCTCAGCCCTGCCCCGATCTCAAACTACAGGCCTCGGATCGGCCTCAGAGGTTCGCATCTTCGAGGATGGAGCGACCAGGCGAGGGGATGAGGCACTGCCTGCACCAGGGGCAAAACAATGGGGGCAGGGCAAACTACGACAGACCCACATGGAATGGCTTGCTGTGGCCCTTTGCCGGCTTTCGCACAGCAGACCTTTGATGATACCTTTATGCAGGCCAAGATGCATTCGGCTGTTCCGCACGGTATTGTGTACAGGTACTACTACAGGCTCGATACCATAGCAGATAGCATCCCTGTTCAATGTTCCTTCGACAGGTTTCGAGTGGGCAGGCATTTGATGAAAACCCGCAAACAAGAGATATTTGGGGTTCAGGGAAACTGGCATTGAAGCCGTGAGGCTTTGATAGGCCCAAGCCAGAGGTCCGAAGAGTACAGAACAAGGCCCCGGTTGTGCTTCGGAGGTAGCCGCAGCAACCATGTCTCGGGGAATCAATGTCGGAGGGCTTTGGATGTAGTGGTGTAGCAGTCCCAAACAAACACATGTCCCTGCTCCAAGCCAATGGCTGAACGGTAGTCGCTTGATTGAACAAGCCAGCTGTAGGTTGTTTGCGTGGACGTATTATGTTCGGCTTAAGTCTAAGTGTCTGCTGTGTTTCTGAATGCTTATCTTTGCTGTCCGCCTCTTTATGAGGAAGTTTTGGATGTTGTCGATTGAATTTCAGTGTGCCTTGATGTGCTTTTTCGCTTGTTTCGCTTGTGGGTGATTTCCGGCTCGCAGACCCTCCGGAAATTGATAAATATGGTTTTTCCCCTTCAAGCTTAGGAGGAACTCATGGAAATCTCGCCCCTTGCTGCGTAACTTCACAGAGACGGCCTCCTATCAAAAACATCGCAAAAGAAAAATCAAAGATGGCGCACCATGCAGTCAAAACTCCTGCCAGACAGGATCAGAAAATATTCAGAAAACTTCCACAGATCCCTCACGAAACTAGTAGTGGGCCCTAATGGGCCCTGAACTCTGAACTCTGGACGCGATCCTTTCGGAGGAAGGCCGGGCCTCATCTCCGCAGGCTTCACAAAGAACTCATGCGTGCCCGCCTGAGCTCAAGAGAGAGCAGAACAGCGAAGAAGTTGCCAAAACTTACCATGAAGAGTCGTCCGACACATCGCGACATGCCCCGTTGATTCCACCTCTTCGTCGATCCATCAATCTTCTTGGCTTTCATTGTCCATCTACCCTAGCTATTTATCCGTCTACCTAGCTAGCCATCTAGCCTATCTAGTTGTGTATCTGTCGAGCCAGTTGCCTAGCGTGCACAGACCGGTGAAACATCACAAGCGAACATACATAGGTGCTTGCAGCATCTTGGTTCATCCGTTCATTCAGTTGTAACCAAACACTACCTAAATACTGCGCCTACCACCCGCCCATGCAGGCATGCATGGCATGCAGGCATGCATGAATATACTGGAAACTACGAGCAGTTCAAATACTCACAGAATCTCATAGACTACTGCTACTGACGCAGAAGCGTACATTGCAACCACCGTACACAAAACGCTTGCTTTAGAGATGTAGCCGGCTGCTATGTCAGCAGGACAACACAAGAAGAAAACGCACCATTGCCGTAGACCTGAGTTTTGAAGGATAGTGTATCCAGGGTTTGGCGGTCCGTGCTTGTTTGGATTGGGGCCCCCCGAGGCTTCTTAAGGGAAACCCGGAGCCTGGCCTAGGGCCGTAGCTCTAGGGCCCAAAGAGACCCCCCCCCCCCCCCTGTTGCTTGGTGGTTTTGGGCGCTTCAGGAGGCGGTTTTGCAGTATGGGTTCGAGCGAAGATGAAGGCTGCCGATCGGCTCGGGGCATGGGATATCCTGCGCTGTGAAAGTGGAATGGCAGTCGGCATGTCTTATCCAGTCGTCACGTTGTAGTAAACAGAATGACAGCAGTTGTAATGGTAGCAGCATCGAACATAATCATCAGGAGAGACTTCCAAGGCGCCTGGATGGACATCGGCCCGTGCACCGGCACGGCCTCCGACGGCTCCAAAACGCAACTCAAGCGTCGCCAGGTGCCTGAGGTGGTGCTGTTCTGCAGGGTTTAGGGTGATGGGAGGGGCTTATCTTGGCATGGTGGGCTTGGGTTTTGGAGCCATCCCATGTCCCGATCTGGGGGGCACGATCTGCCCGAGCCTGACAACTTATGACAAGCCCCAGATCGCGAAGTTGCTTCAAGCTCCAGCAATACAGTCTCGAAACTAGTAATGCCCTGCTACTTAACAGTTGTCGGACACCAGCGCAAGCCAGTGTTTGTGTGTTCCGTGTCCTTTCGTCCTCACTTCGATTTTGCTTGGTCGAGCAACGTCGGGCACACGCCCAATCGATGAATTGGTCTGATCTGCGGCAATGCTGAATACCTGAAAGACTCAACGAAGGACAGATGAAAATGTGATTTTCACCGTGGTGTGGCTTCTACAAACCGATCCGCAACAGACTCGACTACTTTATGCTACCTTCATACAACGAATTGAGTAAAATTGTCAGGATCGGGTTCACATGATGAACCGAACCGCCTCCGAGCTTATGCGGTGACGCCGTATCTGTTGCTCGGTCAAGCATCCGTGCCCAAAAGCTGCATGCTACACGGGTTGCAGGTGGCAACATTTCGCAGAGACTCACGCCGTGTGAAGACACACGCCGTAGCTTGGGCGGCTTGGTGACAGCTGGGCACAGGGCCGTTTGTCGAGCTGTTGTCTCGCATCCGCCAGCGGTTACCGGAGAACCTGGGCTCTGTATATTCGCGCTTGCCGGAGGAGCCAGCAGCCATGTGCCAGGACATACGGAAGGCTTTTAAACATTCCGAAGTTGTGGCAAACCCCAGCACGAGGGTCCCGAGGCCGGAGCTCGAAGATGCAGTGCACGCGAGAAACCGATGTCAGCTGCGAGTCTGTGACCTCGAAAGCCACACTAAAAAGGGGCTCAGAGAACCGTCCTTCGAAGCGACTTTCGGCACAACATCCCCACTTCTCGTCGCGCCTGGATGGTATTGCCTTCGCCCCGGCCCAGTGTGCAGACCTGGAGCTGCGAGCCCGGAGAAGCTCTGACGGCAAGTAGCATAAGTAACACACTCTTCGCGTCTTTCTTCCTGTGGGCTCGGCTCTTTCGCAAAGCACGATCTTCTCGCCCATTCGAGGACCTGGCGAGATGCGAAGTTATGAAGCTCGATTTCAGCTCGGCAGCGCGGCACCTGAGATGAAGTCCAGCTCCAAGGGCGCAATGGGCATGCAGGTGCCCGGCCTGAAAGGCGCGAAACCCCCCTGAAACTTTGCGACTGACAGCAGAACCTCATGTGGAGGTCGTAACATGTCGAGTAGGGTAGAGCTGGGGAAGATGGGTAAACGTCTGATTGCATGGGATCCGTCCGGAGAAGCAGCTGCAGCGAATGTGCATCCCTTCTTTTTGATTTATTCCTCTGGTCCCTGCCTTTGTGCATCCCAGCGCTGTCGGATTCCCACCTCCTGCGCCAAAGAAGCCTTCGGCCACAGGGCACAGGCAGCATCGCGCCACCAACAGCAGCTGAACGTGATGCATCATGATGCCGTGTTGCGAAGTCGCGGCGGTGTGGGCAAGAAGCCAAGGACAGGTCAGAGAGAATTCCCCGGAAAGAAGCTTCTTGCTTGTGAGGACGAGCTCGACCAACGAAATGTTCAACACTCCACTCTAAGCCTTGAAAAATTCCAAACATAACCCCAAACCCATGAAGTAGAAAGTTCCAGCTTGCATGAGTTGAGGAGCCTCATGTGGCCGGCTAGCTGCCTCCTGGCTGTGACGCACCGCAGTGGACAGCCACCTGGGCTTCTAGTGACAATCTCACTGTGATTATCATGACTTCCGCTTCGTTATTGATTCTGCTGCTGCTGCCATTGCTGCTGGTGTTGTTGTGGTTGCTGCGGCCACTACTGCTCGTACTGTCGTGGTGGTGGTGGTCAGGGTGGGGGCGGAGGGGTGAGGGTTTCAGGGTGGTGGCATGGCAGTGCTGCGTAGTAGTGGTAGTGGTAGCACCAGTGGGTTATCTTCTTGATTTTTCTCTCATGCAAAATAGTGTCGTTGCTGTTGCTTCTGTCCTTGTTGCTGGCTGTTGCAGCCGTTCCAAAACCATCTGCAAAGCACAGCCAAGACTGAAGCCACTACGCCAGGAAAGTACCCACAGCACCATAGCACCACCCGAGCGAGCGAAAAAGCGCAAACCGGATGATAAGTGAAGGACGAGGGTTATGACTGTTATGCTCTATCGTCACCATCAGTATCAACAGCAGCCCTGACATGACCATGGCCACAGCAACGGAAATGACTCTGACCATGAAACAGATCATCAGCACGGACATGACAAACACCATGACCGTGAACAATTCCATCCACATAACCCCGCGACCCACCATCATTCACTGCCGATGTCGTCCCCAGCATCATCGCCGCCATTGCCATCGCTGTGTGAAATCATCGTCATCGGAGCATCGCCGTCATGCTCGGCATCTTTATCTCCAGAAATGCCCGCTTTCCACCTCGAACCTGAACGGCTGCTACCCAGAATAAAAATCGAGCGAAACGCGTAGCACGTGTGCAGTTTGAGCTCAGGTATCGCTCTGCCTTGTCCCTCGCTCCTTGGCTCGCGGCCCACGTGGCTTTCGGGAGCTCAGCGTCAACATCAGCTCGCTCTGAGCGCGGAGGAGAGGGGAGGACACAGGAAGTGGAAATCCCTGTGTGCTTCCGGGTAAACCTCTTCATCAAAGTGCCTGTTGCCCTTACTGCACTCATAGGTCCTACAGGCACTTACTCCGAGTAGTTTCGCTTTTTTGCAACTCATCTGACTATTGATTCCGGCCGCCTTCCAAGTCGCGAAGCCGAATCAATAGCCGTCTCGAATCCCATGCTACTGGTGCATCTGCGATGGGGCTGCATGATCTCCACTAAGGCTCCATGGATGCTACCACCACCACGACGATTGCAACTCGACTGCGCTCTTGCCCTGCAGCTAAGCCTCGAGTATTCTTATTCTTCTATTTTTGTATAAAAAAACTCCAGAATATGAGAACATACTTCCACATGCCCCGATGTGACTCGTGCCGTCGTCTACGATCTCGTGCGACCTTGGACTTTCTTTTTCGGGCGAACAACTACAAACTGTGGCTCCAAAAATCCGTATACCATCAACCTATCTGTAAACATATGTGGACGGAAAACAACCGCGCCGACTATGATGTAGTATGATGGGCGTTATGAGCTTTGCTATGCTAGACAACGTAAACTGAAGGGCCACATGTGCACGTACATACATGCACATGTATAACGTATACACACAGTGCACCTACCGCTGTGTATGGCTACGAGCTGTTCGGCCACGTTCCTTTACACGCTACTAAAAGCTACTAGATACGACAATCTGACACGATGTACTGCTGCAGACTACCATAAAACGAGGCATGTAAGTCTTCTTTTCGTCTGTCTAATCTGCCGATACTGTCATTGCGGGTATTTGCATTTGCCTGCAGCCTCTTTTCACTTGCTTGTTGTCTTAAGAACATACACCTCTCCCAACCCCACATACAAGCCCCCAACCCCCCCCCCCCGCCAAGCCAAACA